TACCACACATAGCATAGTCCTTCACTCAGTACTTCACCTTCCAGTTCTACCAGTAAGACCACACATAGTATAGTCCCTCACTCAGTACTTCACCTCACAGATCTACAAGTGTGACCACACATCTAGTTTAGTCCTTCACTCAGTACTTCACCTCCCAGTACTACCAGTAAGACCTCACATAGTATAGTCCTTCACTTAGTACTTCACCTCCCAGTATAACCAGTAAGACCACACATAGTATAGTCCTTCACTCAGTACTTCACCTCCCAGTACTACCAGTAAGACCTCACATAGTATAGTCCTTCATTCAATACTCCACCTCCCAGTATAACCAGTAAGACCACACATATTATAGTCCTTCACTCAGTACTTCACCTCCCAGTATAACCAGTAAGACCACACGTAGTATAGTCCTTCACTCAGTACTTCACCGCCCAGTACTACCAGTAAGACCTCACATAGTATAGTCCTTCATTCAATACTTCACCTCCCAGCATAACCAGTAAGACCTCACATAGTATAGTCCTTCACTCAGTACTTCACCGCCCAGTACTACCAGTAAGACCTCACATAGTATAGTCCTTCATTCAGTACTTCACCTCCCAGTATAACCAGTAAGACCTTACATAATATAGTCCTTCATTCAATACTTCACCTCCCAGTATAACCAGTAAGACCACACATAGTATAGTCCTTCATTCAGTACTTCACCGCCCAGTACTACCAGTAAGACCTCACATAGTATAGTCCTTCATTCAATACTTCACCTCCCAGTATAACCAGTAAGACCACACATAGTATAGTCCTTCATTCAATACTTCACCGCCCAGTACTACCAGTAAGACCTCACATAATATAGTCCTTCACTCAGTACTTCACCTGCCAGTATTACCAGTAAGACCTCACGTAGTATAGTCCCTCGCTCAATACTTCACCTGCCAGTACTACCAGTAAGACCTCACGTAGTATAGTCCCTCGCTCAGTACTTCACCTCCCAGTACTACCAGTAAGACCTCACATAGTATAGTCCCTCGCTCAGGACTTCACCTCCCAGTACTACCAGTAAGACCACACATAGTATAGTCCTTCATTCAATACTTCACCGCCCAGTACTACCAGTAAGACCTCACATAGTATAGTCCTTCATTCAGTACTTCACCTCCCAGTATAACCAGTAAGACCTCACATAGTATAGTCCTTCATTCAATACTTCACCTCCCAGTATAACCAGTAAGACCTCACATAATATAGTCCTTCACTCAGTACTTCACCTGCCAGTACTACCAGTAAGACCTCACGTAGTATAGTCCCTCGCTCAGTACTTCACCTCCCAGTACTACCAGTAAGACCTCACGTAGTATAGTCCTTCATTCAGTACTTCACCTCCCAGTACTACCAGTAAGACCTCACATAGTATAGTCCCTCGCTCAGTACTTCACCTCCCAGTATAACCAGTAAGACCACACATAGTATAGTCCTTCATTCAATACTTCACCGCCCAGTACTACCAGTAAGACCTCACATAGTATAGTCCTTCATTCAATACTTCACCTCCCAGTATAACCAGTAAGACCACACATAGTATAGTCCTTCATTCAATACTTCACCGCCCAGTACTACCAGTAAGACCTCACATAGTATAGTCCTTCATTCAATACTTCACCTCCCAGTATAACCAGTAAGAGCTCACATAGTATAGTCCCTCGCTCAGTACTTCACCTGCCAGTACTACCAGTAAGACCTCACGTAGTATAGTCCCTCGCTCAGTACTTCACCTCCCAGTACTACCAGTAAGACCACACATAGTATAGTCCTTCATTCAGTACTTCACCGACCAGTACTACCAGTAAGACCTCACATAGTATAGTCCTTCATTCAATATTTCACCTCCCAGTATAACCAGTAAGACCACACATTGTGTAGTCCTTCATTCAGTACTTCACCTCCCAGTACTACCAGTAAGACCACACACATAGTATAGTCCTTCACTCAGTACTTCACCTCCCAGTACTACCAGTAAGACCACACACATAGTATAGTCCTTCGCTCAGTACTTCACCTCCCAGTATAACCAGTAAGACCACACATAGTATAGTCCTTCACTCAGTACTTCACCTCCCAGTATAACCAGTAAGACCACACATAGTATAGTCCTTCACTCAGTACTTCACCTCCCAGTACTACCAGTAAGACCTCACATAGTGTAGTCCCTCACTCAGTACTTCACCTCACAGTTCTACCAGTAAGACCACACGTAGTATAGTCCCTCACTCAGTACGTCACCTCCCAGTATAACCAGTATGACCACACATAGTATAGTCCTTCGCTCAGTATACTTCACCTCCCAGTATAACCAGTAAGACCTCACATAGTATAGTCCTTCATTCAGTACTTCACCGCCCAGTATAACCAGTAAGACCACACATAGTATAGTCCCTCACTCAGTACTTCACCTCCCAGTATAACCAGTAAGGCCACACATAGTATAGTCCCTCACTCAGTACTTCACCTGCCAGTATAACCAGTAAGACCACACATAGTATAGTCCCTCACTCAGTACTTCACCTGCCAGTACTACCAGTCACACCCCCAACCCAGTGTTTACATTAAATTAGCACTGATGTAGAAGATCAACAACACAAACTACCGGTGAAGGTGGACATCAACTAAGTAAAGTTACTTCATTATCGAACTCAAACAACTTTGTCTAATAAATAGGTCACTTGAAAGTTACTCTTCTTCTTCTTTTAGTTTTACTTGAGTAACATCATCTGATAATTATCGGTACTCTTACTTACTTTTTTCGGGCCTCTCGTTATTTTTCATACTTAAATGCACATAAGGACTTGGGATCTGACGTGGAAAACTGCTCCACCTTTACTTCTGAACACAGCATCATCACCAGCATGTCAGAGATTATTCAGTTGGGTCGGACTAACCTTCAGCCACAAAGAGTTACAATAAGTAATTGGAAATTCGAAACTGAGCTTTTGTTAAGACATTGAAAATTACATACAATAACTAACATTATACATACAGTGTATAGATAAATGGATGTGTTTATATTCCTCACTACATAGCATTTGTACTCACTGTATTATTATTATTGGTGTTTAATTTTCTTTACACAAAAAATGCTGGGAATCATTTAAAATACTGTTTACATTATATCTAATCTGTTACTATTATGTTAGAATCTTTTCGCCTACAGACAACGTTCAACAGCCTGTTTATTACAGTATTTGGACCTACATTACTCTGCCGTAATTCTTTGTTATTTAATTGCATTAATATTCTTACTCCGAGTATTTGAGTAATTTATAAACTTGATACTTTTTACTGTTACTTAAGTAACACAAAGAAAGAGTAATTCTACTTTTACTTAAGTAAGTTTTTCTTGGAAAAATTAATTTACTCAAGTAACGTTTTCCAGTATTACCTGTTACTTAGTTTTCCCTGCCAGTAAGTTCAATACAGCAATAATAGTTGTATAAGTTGTAGTAGTAACAGTAGCAATTATATTACTAGTTGTTATTGGAACAGTAGTTGTAGTATTACTAACAATAGTTGTGGAAGCAGTAGTGTAACAGTAGAGTAGTGGTTCTGGTAGCAGTATCATCAGCAGTAGTAAATTATCTGTAATAAACAATTATTTACATTAGAACAGATAAAGAGGCACATGTACACTCGCAACAAGAAGTATCGGTGCATACTGTAGTGCGAACAATTTGTGGTCAATGACGATAGGTATTGGAAAAGGCGAGTTGTTCCAGCTGTATGTTGGCAGCCCTGGTTAAGTGAAACAAACCGTTATAAATAAGGTCGGGAAGTGATAAATAGACAGTATGAAATATGAGGAGCCCCCTGTTAACAAAATTATTTGTGATACGTGTGAATATTGCCACATTAATTTATGCTACCAAATAAACCACTCAACCTGGTCGTCCTGGGGGGTGGTGCAGTGTGGACGGCCGCTCCGAGACCTGTCGTCTGTAGCACCAGTTTCGAGCCGAATCCATAGTGCAGCGGTGTTCCTGTGGACACCAACCCGCTGGCTAATCTGTGACGCCGAACCCTTCATTATGAAGGGCAATAATAGCTCCTCGTGTTCCCTCTGAGGTTTCCATGTCGTCTGGCATGTGTAGATCTCTACTGCTTCATATTGCCTCTGTTTTATACCCACGTTCACCGAGTCCGAACCCTCGCTCATCATTCAGTCGACACAAAGCAACAATCCGAAAAGAGGAAACAAACACACTGATTGTCAGCCATATGGCAACACCTAGTGGGGGGGGGGGCGGGGGTGGGGTTATGAGGATACACTTACCAACCTTCCCGACATACACCCTGCACCGATACTTTTTGGTGTGAGTGTACAAGCAGAGAGAGTTCTTTGTCTTGTGGTTTAGTAAGCACAATTGAAGTAATTCCTTTTAAGGCTTAACGGACAAGCAGACAAACAATAAGTCAGTTTCTTCCTGCGGTTCTTTAAAGATGATACAGTTGTTATATTTTCAGACGTCACTTAAATAGCATCAGTGTGACTGGTGGGGAAGTGGCTCGTGCATATGCCAATGTTGTCTCGGCTTTGAACAGCGGCCAGAAGAGGAAGACTGCCCTCAAAGAACTAAAGGTGAGGCTTATGGAAGGTGAACATAAGATTTGGAGAGGAATGGTGAACTGGAGGGCCTTCCCCTCTCTGTCTGTCTCTCTCTCTCTCTATATATATCTCTTACATTCACCTTAGCAATTTACCAACACACTTCTCACTGTTCCACAGAATGTGTGTGGTATCTACGACAGCCAGTTCAAGGGGAATGACCAGAAGGAAGCACACGACCTACTAGGCTGCCTCTTGTACTGGCTTGACCAAGACCTGACTACGGTATCCCATCTACTTTCCTACCTTTCCCATGTCCAACTTATGACAGTTGGATATGTTGCTGTTGTTAATAATAATCATAATAGTTAGTAGTAATAGTCGTCATTACTTGAATCACAATTATTACTGTTATTATCAATATCATGGTTTTGTACTTCCCCAAAGGATGAGCTCGACTGTTCATGTAACAAGCAAGGCTCCTCAATCAAACACATGATGAATTCTAACGCTAGCAAGAAGCAAGAGGCCTTGAATAACAAAGCCCTTCCCGAGAAACAATGCCAGAGGGATAAAATCTGCGAAAACTGTGGCGTTGAATTCGAAAATGGATCCGTAATCTCAAGGTTGTTTGGGGGAATCAGCCAGTCAACCATAACCTGTCCCGAATCACAAAATATTGTGTGTCAGGTACATGAGCGATTCACGAATGTGTCGCTGGCTGTTACCCAGCCCGGCAACACACACCTTCAGGTGGGCTGGATTTCACATTATTTTACTTTTTATTCTTTGGAAATATGTTTTAAAATATAATTAATATGCTTTACCTGCTCCTACTTATCAAAGGATTACCACATCACACCCAAGGGATTTAGTCATTGAACACAAGGAGTTAAGACATTTTATTAGGCTAATATATTGTACAGTCACACGAAAAAAGCTTACTTAGTCTTCCGTCCCGTCCATGAACCCTGAGACTCTTGAAACTATGTATCCAGGACATCACATATTGCTGGGCCCAAAGATGGCGCACTCTGTGATGAGTCCACGAGCCAGACCCCAGAATTTGAGATTTGAGTACCAAATGGAGGGATTAAAAGACATGTGTTTCAGTTGGCCTGATGTCTAGAGAGTATGGAATCATGTGATGGACCTTCCAGATGTCCAGCTAAATACCATTTCGGCGGCCATCTTTCCAAACAGCTGCTGAATTTTGGCGATATTGACATCTATCAATATTGGGCTCTAGCTCAGAGTTAGTTTGCCCTACGCATATCAAATCACTCTGAATATGTTTAGTACAATTTCTACACACATCTGTTTTACTTTTGTCCAGATACTTCCAATAATTTTTGAGTTACAGTATTGTACAAAGTAAAGTAAAATTTAAGTATTTATACATATTTTTCTTTCACTATAACTGTACATTACTTGTTTTTTTTAATTTGACTACTAAATGTGTCTTTATATTCAAAGATTTAAAACCATTTGCCATTGTCATATTGGTTTATTATTGTATAGATGTTAAATACAAATAAGGACATATGATAAATACTGATAGATGTCAATATCGTCAAAATTCAGCAGCTGTTTGGAAAGATGGCCGCCAAAATGGTACTGTATTTAGCTGGACATCTGGAAGGTCCATCACATGATTCCTTACTCTCTAGACATCAGGCCAACTTAAACACATTATGTCTTTTAGTCCCTCCATTTGGTACTCAATTCTACTCTGGCTCATGGACTCAAGTTTTGGATTCACAGGTTCACGAGTCTTAGGGTTCATGGATGAGACGAAGGACTGACAGTTTTTTTTTCGTGACTGTATCAAGGGATTGGTATCATATCTAAGGAGTTAGCCACTGAACTGAAGTCTTAGTTTCTAGAACAGACATCTTTAAACATTATTAACCAACCGCCTGAGCAGTGAGGGAGTAACTTTCATGTTCCTTATTTGATAATATAAATGACGCTGAAGTTGGACTTCTTTTTGGTGACTAGGATATTATTTTTGTAGATTCTAAGAAAGATATTTTTTAACCACACCTTGAGTTATCTGTGCATACCCAACAGCCATACCAGTACACACACACACACACACACACACACACACACACACACACACACACACACACACACACACACACACACACACACACACACACACACACACACACACACACACACACATACTAGCAAATACGTACACACACATAAACACATGTCTGCAAAAAACACACACAGAGACACACAAATAATTACGCACATGTTACAAATAAATTTGGGTGTATATCTGACAGTATACACCGATGCTTATTTTGGAATTTTTCAGCCAAATCTCATAAGCTAGAATTTGTATTACTAAAGTGTCTTTACTGACAAGTGTGTGGGATCAATATGTTGGTAAAACATGAGAGATCATGTTTTATGTTCATAAGTCAGTTGCGCTAAGTGTTTTACTCTGATAATATTTCTCATTTCTTTTACCTAAGGGGCTGATGGGTAAAAAAAATGATTTACAGGCACTGTTCTTTATATGTCTCTTTAAAGATATACTTCTTATTGTTTTTTGCCAGCTGTCTTATTTTTAAACACATGATAATTAGAGAAGTCAGCTAAGTGCCGTGTCCGTAGTAATATTTATTTACCGAGGCGGCCGGCCCTCTCCAACAGCTGAAGATATATGAAGCAACATAAATTAAAATGATTATTGTAAGAAAAACACTTCGTAGCAGAGAGGTCCATGGAAAGTATTAGTCCGGGGTATAATTATATTATATGAGTTTTGGTAGGCAGAGATTCTGCACGATGAACTTTCAACAGAATAATCATATGCCTTCCTAGATGCCCATGCGAGTTGATTGGTATAAAATATAAATATCTGTATAAATGGATGTATGTACAGTACTCATAACTCATTTAAGCATAAATATTTGTATGCTTAATTATACACTCTAACCCTCCCCCCCTCCCCTCCTTTAGGACTTGCTGAGGCACCACTACCGACCTCAGAGTATTATGTGGCACTGTCAGTATTGCCAGAAGGAGCATATGTGCACCCAGCAGACTCGTGTCCTCTCTCAGCCTCAGGTGCTGGTAATACATCTCAGCAGGTGAGTGTGGTGTTGTTTATGATCATCATCATATCAGTGTCATCTGGGCTCCACCATCCTTGCTGGTTGTTGTGAGACTGTCAGAACATGTCAGTTGTTACTGAGGGATGAACTTCCAGTTTGTACCGCAATTTAATATATAATACTGCATTTTGTTTTTGGTTAAGCAAAGAATAGTATAAATTGATAAACCAATTAAATTGTTTCATTAATTACTAACGCTTCGGAAAATCATTTTCCATCACGAGAGCCTAGAAAACAAACAAAAAGTTTCAATAATTACAGGTAATATACAATAAAAACAGAACATTATCCTAAAATTTACCTTCCGCAATTGTTTTTAAGGGAGCATTATAATTTAAAACCAATACAAATGACGGAAGACCTACGTATAAAACTAAAATCAGAAAAAAATCTAAAACATGCAGGATGTATTACCTTAGCTGAGTCGAACCTTAGTGTGAAAAACACAACAATTCACAGGAAGCCACATCACAAATGGATGGCTATCCTTTATATTGAAACAAGGCTTCCATAATTAGGACGTCTCACAGTTGCTCCTGCCAAGAACTGAGAAATCGGCCATTCGGCCTGCGAAAACAGGTGGCCATGTTGGTGGACGTGGTTACGGTTAGCTGAATGTGGTGGTTGTGTGATTAACTGGCCTGTTCGGACGGAATGGCCCAAGTGCTCATGGATGCGAGTTATCAAGTGTCTTTTTGTTTTACCTATATGTGCTGCCCTACAGCTAGCACACGTAAATTGATAAATAACTGAGGATTGCAGGTGTGTTGGTATGGTGTCTTTAGTTTTAAATAATTTTTTAATTGAACTCTGGACTTTGAAGACTAGTCTAAGAGAAATTTGTGGATATAATTCATAAAGAAGTTTCTTAAGTTTGTTTCTAAGGATGAAACTGAGTGGGCCTGTGTATGGGATGGTGAAATAGATAGAATATCTAGGAGCGGTGTGGATTTGAGTCTGTGTGGGACCAAAAATCCTATTAAGGGTTTTGCCGATATGAGTATCTGTAAAACTCTTAGGGAAACTATTGTTAAAGAGTAGTTTCTTTATGTATTTCAGTTCAATGTCCAAGTGGAAACAGCTTGAACATATATTAAAGGCTCTGTTGATAAGAGTACGTACTAGATTTCGTTTGTAATTAAGAGGAATAAAAAATGAAAATTTTGAACTCAAACCAGTGAATGTTGGTTTTCTGTAAAAGGCTGTCTCGAAACTATTATGAATGCGGTGGATATTAACATCAAGGAATGGTAGAATATTGCCCTTTTCTAATTCACTAGTAAATTTGATGTTGCCATGCCTCGAATTTAGATAATTAAGGTCCCACGTTGGCCAACTCTTTCCTCTGTCACCTGGAGAAATTTTGGCTAACCCGAAGGTCCCGCCCAATTTAAGTCTTTGTTATATCGACGATGTTTTAATGACATATTTGTAATTTTCAGATCACTTGATAATGTCCCTATGTTCCTAAATTACTTAAATAGCACGCAGACTTTCGTATACAAACAATACCTCGTTAGTCGGGAATCGAACCCTGGACAGCGTATGAACAGGGATTGCTATTACCGTGCCATGCAGGGTTCGATTTTCTACTAGTGAGTTGCTTCTAGATTCCCAGGCCTAATTTATCCATCCACTATTTGATCTTTTTCTGAGGTGTCCGTCGTGTCCTGGGAGCATTTTAGTATCTTACTTATCTATTTTTAATATTCATGTAAGATAGCCAGTTCATGCACTGCTCCTCTATTATATTAGACTTAAGAATAGTATTTCATATTTTGGTTTGAAATCTTACCCAATTGTTTCTTTTCCTGTTCGTACAAGTTATTCCTATAGCAAACATCTGTCCATGTTTGAAGTTTCAGTAATATTTGTACAATCATTCACCTTGCACTTCATCACCTGTCTTTGTCTACAATGATACAACTGAACTGATTATATGATTTTCAGCTTTGATAAATATACAAGTGATTCATCAGTATATAACTTAGTTTTCCAATCTAAAAAGACACCCCAGTCTCTTTTGACTCGTCCTTGAATTTCACTTGACATATTCCTTGTGGTTGTATTAGTAATGTGTGGGTCCTCCGCTTCTTTTTCTTATATGGCTGGAATTTGGACAACATTTTTATAGTATTCCTGTTGATTATATTTTCACTCCTACTCTATTGTTTGCTGTGTTCATTTGTTTTTTGTTTTATTATTATTATTATTCCCGCTCACTGACACCTTGTTTATTATTATTCCCGCTCACTAACACCTTGTTTATTATTATTCCCGCTCACTGACACCTTGTTTATTATTATTCCCGCTCACTGACACCTTGTTTATTATTATTCCCGCTCACTGACACCTTGTTTATTATTATTCCCGCTCACTGACACCCGCTCACTGACACCTTGTTTATTATTATTCCCGCTCACTGACACCTTGTTTATTATTATTCCGCTCACTGACACCTTGTTTATTATTATTCCCGCTCACTGACACCTTGTTTATTATTATTCCCGCTCACTGACACCTTGTTTATTATTATTCCGCTCACTGACACCTTGTTTATTATTATTCCGCTCACTGACACCTTGTTTATTATTATTCCCGCTCACTCACTGACGCCTTGTATATTATTATTCCCGCTCATTGACACCTTGTTTATTATTATTCCCGCTCACTGACACCTTGTTTATTATTATTCCCGCTCACTGACACCTTGTTTATTATTATTCCCGCTCATTGACACCTTGTTTATTATTATTCCCGCTCATTGACACCTTGTTTATTATTATTCCCGCTCACTGACACCTTGTTTATTATTATTCCCGCTCACTGACACCTTGTTTATTATTATTCCCGCTCATTGACACCTTGTTTATTATTATTCCCGCTCACTGACACCTTGTTTATTATTATTCCCGCTCACTGACACCTTGTTTATTATTATTCCCGCTCACTGACACCTTGTTTATTATTATTCCCGCTCACTGACACCTTGTTTATTATTATTCCCGCTCACTGACGCCTTGTTTATTATTATTCCCGCTCATTGACACCTTGTTTATTATTATTCCCGCTCACTGACACCTTGTTTATTATTATTCCCGCTCACTGACACCTTGTTTATTATTATTCCCGCTCATTGACACCTTGTTTATTATTATTCCCGCTCATTGACACCTTGTTCACTGACACCTTGTTTATTATTTCCACTGACACCTTGTTTATTATTACTGACACCTTGTTTATTATTATTCCCGCTCACTGACACCTTGTTTATTATTATTCCCGCTCATTGACGCCTTGTTTATTATTATTCCCGCTCATTGACACCTTGTTTATTATTATTCCCGCTCACTGACACCTTGTTTATTATTATTCCCGCTCACTGACACCTTGTTTATTATTATTCCCGCTCACTGACACCTTGTTTATTATTATTCCCGCTCACTGACACCTTGTTTATTATTATTCCCGCTCACTGACACCTTGTTTATTATTATTCCCGCTCACTGACACCTTGTTTATTATTATTCCCGCTCACTGACACCTTGTTTTACCCATTTTACGGAGAGCTGTGAAAGTTATTTCTTATTTCACTTCGTTTAACTTTCGTGGTATTAAGAAATATTACAACAACTGGTGCTATTTTAATATCAACGGTTAGTCTATCTTTTGGTTTGATGATCATAAAAAGCGAGAAGAGTATTATGTCTAATTATAATTATATTTTTAGTAGTGTATTGATATATAATAGTTTACCATAAGTACTCAACTGTATTACTCCCCTGTACCTCACCTTCAGGTATAACAGAGTTCGCTATAACGCCAAGTTGTGTGGAGTAGACTACCCCACCACTAGCCTCACTCTAGACGAACATCTGGTGCACCAACGCTCCTCCAGGTCAGTCTCCACCCTTCATATATACCATACACCTATTATATATATACATGGTGCATAGACCAATAAATGTGCGTGTACCAACAGTCGGTAGTGTAGCCAAAGTGAGGTTTTACACACTGAGGTGTTAAAGTGAGCGGGTCACCAGTATTTCACAAGGAACCCACCCGCCTCTGTTATTATAGGCGTTGTCTGCCAAACCAAGACAAGGTGGGGTGAAAAACCAGTACTACAGGCGGCCCTCTCACTTTTACACCTAGTTAAGGAAAGCGGTTTCGCGCCCACTTGGAGAACATTACCGCACATATGTGTTACACTAAATAAGGATAATTGCCGATTAGCGATAACTTCTATATATTGATTTTTTTGTAAACTTCTGACAGGCCATAACCGACCATGAAAAGTTTCATACAAACCTAACCTAACCTAACCTAACCTACATTAGGTATAATTTTGTTATCATATGATTGTAAACGATGCCTTAAAGCTTAAATTAAATGGTAAAATTTACTATTATTTTTTATTGAGTTACAGCAATAAAACAAAGAAATATTCCTATTCGGCAAAAATTTCAGTTACTTCTGAAATCTTCGGATTTTTTAATCTATTTAGCGTTATATATATATATATATATATATATATATATATATATATATATATATATATATATATATATATATATATATATATATATATATATATATATATATATAAACTCTCTGTCCATGTAATCCAGTTGCCTCTGAAGATGTCTTGAATAAAGACGAAAGCTAAGGTGCTCCGTTGTTTCCCTTTTCCCGTGTGATTTTATCAAGATATATATATATATATATATATATATATATATATATATATATATATATATATATATATATATATATATATATATCTGTGTGTGTGTGTGTGTGTGTGTGTGAATTAATAAACCTTTCGAGGGACGACTAGATAAAATATATTTTCCAAAGGATCTTCATATACCAACAACACGTAAAGAATTGTATAAAATTATATTATGATAACTTTGACTATACAGATATTATATTATACGTTATATTTACTTATTTTATGACTAACCGACGTAAGTGTTGAAAAAGGCTGTAAAACAATAATAAATGATGTATAAAGCTGGACTTGTGGACTACCCCATTGATCACTGCTCTCCCATTGTTACAACACTATACTGTATCTTGAAAATAGAGAGTAACCCATAGTTAACGCATATTTTATCTTAATATATACAAGTCCAGTGTGGGTGGAGTACAAGTACTGTGAACTATGACTTGGCTCATAAAGTAAAATGTTTAGAATTTAAAGAAGTTACAATAAATACATGTTTATTAAATTTATGAATTACTCAATAAACTTACCCCAAAAATGGTGCTGGCCAAGGTGTCATGCATTAACTATATTGGACATGGAACCAAGAAACACATAGAGACAAATTGTGTGTAGTGCAACACTTATTGTATGGGAGAACCACCATCAACAAGAATCTTGGGATGATTTCAGGTTTTAATAGAACTGAAAAAAATAATCTGGTAACAACAGTTTATAATTTAGATTTATGTGTGATATTTAGTTTTATTAACTATAATGAGAGTATGATGCGACCATAGATATAAATATATGAAAGCTGATTGTGACTCACCTACTAGAACGAACGATTTTCTCACTCATGATACCGGTTATAATTTAGACTTATTCATTGCCTCCAAACTTCTTCCCAGGATGATCAAAACACCAAACTTCTGACTCTCTTAGATAAAATAATGTTCATAAAGTGGCAGAGATTATGGTTAGTAAAAGGGATTTTCTTTCATATGATCCTTGAACTGACGAGATTGATGCCTCCAACAGTCAAGATCCCTCTTGCTAGGCTCCGCCCAGGTCTTTGTCCTCGTCATCAGGTTTTACTGGATAAAGACAACCAATGTTACTTTCACAGAGATGATCGTAGGTGCTACCGGCTGTACGGTGTGTGTCTCCACACAGGCTCTCAAACCAGTGGCCACTACACCGCCTCCTGCAGGATACAACAACGTTATGGTGACCACGATGACAAGCAGGCATGGCAAATATTCAACGATGAAATAGTGAGACCTACAGAGAATTACAAGTGGCCTCAGACAGCACACATTCTCTTCTTCCACAGTGATAACCTACGCAAGTATGGAAAATGGCCAGAAAACGTTGATGATGAGTGATCAGTTCTTGGTCACACTGTTTTGTCACCCTGAGTTGTGAAATTAGATGTAGCAATGACTGTGGCATTAACTTTGGTGTTGACAGTTCTGTTGTGATGATTGGGTCGTCACAAATAACTTAGATATTTTTCTTAAGGTGTGTACAGTATTTATAGATACTGCGACCTGTGGTGTAATGGTCAGCATGCTCTCCTAACAAGCGAGTGGACCCGGGTTCGATCTCCGAGTAGGGTGAAACTATGGGAAAGTTTCTTTACACCATTTGCCTCTGTCTGCTCAGCAGTAATAGGGGACCTACTGAATGTTAACCGATTTGCGGATCGTGTTCCTGGGTAATTGTTAGCCAGTACAGTTAGAGAGTTGTCCGGTGTTCTTGGACTGTTCCTTGACACTGGGTCATGCAACTCATAAACTCAGGGTGTGGTTGTTGTGTTGGCGACAGTTTCTACACCTTAAACAAATCCACGCCATGGTGACCCAAGGGCCAACCACCCTCGATCTCGAGGGGCAACAATTATTATTCAAGATATTTCCATTTTGGTGTCTGTAAATAGTTCCTGTTAGTAACTGTGGTAACTCAGAAATTTCGATGTGTGAATGTGTTTATGTAAACAACAATTTTATTTCATCTTCTAGTTTTCTTGTGTTTGATAAAGTGGACAGAGTGAGGGGTACTGGTTCACGTCCTGGGGGAGTTTCTTTGTGTCAGTCGTGTTTATTTATTGAGAACCTTGTTGTATATTGGCTGGCAGATTCTTCTGGGATATCGGGTTAACTAAGCCACCACGAGCTGGGGCTACACGTCAACACGGCCTGGTCCACCTCAGAGTTCCTCGGGGTCACTGCCTCAACAACATCATTAGTAGACTAACAATAATAAATATAAAAGAGAGTAAAATAGAAATATGTGAAGGTCAGACTAATAACACACTCAATAGTTTACTGCACACTTACACACAAACTTATTCATTTGTCTTCCACGTATATATGAATAAATATTTATGATTATATTTATTTTTATTATTCTCCATTTTCCTTCCGTTAGTCATTCTGTAGGTTACACTAATTTGTAATTCACTGATATTTAATATTCGGTGAAAAACTAAATTAATTTGTAGTAATTTAGTCGAGGCTTCAACGAGTACGGAAAATGTCATCCACTGTACTGGCCAGAGCAGTGGTCCTCAACCTGTAGTTAGGAGCCCGCGGAACCCTATTATGGAGCCCGCGGAGCCCTATTATGGAGCACGCGGAGCCCTATTATGGAGCCCGCAAGGATTTATTAGAAAAATTTGAATTATTTCGGATTATTTTAAGAGTCAAACTAATGAAAATATATAATAACTTCATACAACTTTATATTTTGAGAGAGAGAGAGAGAGAGAGAGAGAGAGAGAGAGAGACAGAGAGAGAGAGAGAGGAGCTGCGTATTTATCCCAAGTCTGTCTTGCACAGGACGTGTGTATATACCCCAGACCTTCTAACTAAACGGAAATAATATATATATATATATATATATATATATATATATATATATATATATATATATATATATATATATATATATATATATATATATATATATATATATATATATATATATATATATATATATATTCATAGCTCGTTTTAGGAATGCATAATTCAAGAGTAAATGTACAAAGTATGTAACTGATAATAGACTTATATAACTGCAAATAACTGTACAATATAACAACATAAGAACTTAAGAATGGAGGGAACTGCAGGGAGCATATTGGCCCATACTGGGCAGTCCTGTTTACACACAACCCCTATTGCTCATATATCCATCCAACCTTTATTTGAAGCTATCCAGTGTATTCTAGTTAAAGATGATGTTTGGTAATTTTTTCCACTCATCCACTACCCTATTTCCAAACTGTATGTATATTATGTATGTTGTATGTATGCCATGCATGTACTCTATATATACACATTATTTCTCCAGTCAGTAGCGTGTGGCAATGCCCCCGTTTCATGTCACCACACGCTTAGATAAATGTGCCTGGCGACATCTGGAAGCTGCTAGTATACCACTTACCACATGTCGCCTGAGAGGTCAGAGTGAGGTCAGTTGACCCTATAGGAGTGTAAGGACTACCTGCGCTTGTAAGCGCACTCCTGTATATTTCCGTTAATAAGAACTCTACAGAACTCTAAAGGTGTTTATGTTCGCCCCTGTAGTTAGAACTAAGTACCCCGAACATCTCCATGGCGCAGTAAGTATCAAGTGATCGATTAAAAAAGTGGAAATATGTGCGTTCGTGTAAAATCAAGGCCGGTAGACCTCCTCCGTCAACTCCGTCATCTGTCGCCATTGTCTCCCCCAAAAATTCGTTTGAATGACCAACGAGTTTTGAGCAGTGTGCAGTGACCGCAATTTCCTGTGAAGTGTCTTTAAGTGCCCCTCGTGTGTGTGTAGTGTTAAAGTGTGTGTCCTTGTTTTAAAGGATTCCCTAAGGTGGAAGGCTGATATAGGGCATTTGTGAGGAGTGGAGCGTCAGCGCGACCGTCCCAAGCTGCCTCGAGGGTAACTCACCCCCCACCGCCTCGCCTCCCTCCGCGCTCCACCGCGCCTACACACACCAACCCACGCTCGAACACACTGACCGCGGTCATTTCTTCATATATATATATTTTATATATATATATATATATATATATATATATATATATATATATATATATATATATATATATATATATATATATATATATATAAGTTACTTATCTGTGTATTCAATTAATTTTGTTGTCTCAGATCTGGTTGATACGATGGGCTGACCGGTCAACACTGATTTGAGATACAATATACAGATAAAGTAATTATGCCCCGGACCTCACGCAGCAGCGGTGTCCCTAGCGCCCGGATGAATCAGACGGATGACAGCTCTACAGAGATGGATGACCAGTCACTGAGCGACGCCCCACCCTCTCCCAGCCACACCCCTCGACCCTCAGCCTTGTCCTCAGAGATAATTGCTCTGATGAAGCTTATGAGGGAGGAGAGGCGTCAGGACGAAGCGAAAAGACATGCTGAGGACCACCAAAGGAGATTGGAAGATAACGAACGGTTTGCAGCTTTGATATCTAGCCTCACTGCTAATCAAGCCCTTGGCCCTTCCACTACTCAGGTACCGACTGTCTCAGATACCTCGTCAACGCCCTCTACCAAAGTGGTTGTCCAACCCTCACCCGCCTTGAACCCTGATGAGACTTTCCAGACTTTTCGTGAGTGGCGGGGACGGTGGACTGATTATGCTACAATGGTGGATCACCAGAGCTTGCCACAGCCCAAACAACTCATTCAGCTACGTATGTGCCTGTCTTTGGGAACGCAGCATGTGTTGGAACATACGTTGCAAGTGCCCCCGACGTCTTTGTTGTCTGTAGAGGATTTACTGGATGTTCTAGAACGTCACATCAAAGGTCAGCGGAATGAAGCTCTCCGCAGGAGGGAAGTGTTTAGCTGTAGACAGATGGAGGGCGAGACTTTTGATGATTTCTACGTACGACTCAAGAGAGCCTCGGAAGAGATAGACATATGTCCCGGTAATCACCAGCAGTGCGAGGAGAGCCAGTTGAAGCAGGTGATCCTGATGGGCGCTAAGGACAAGGAGCTTGTCCAACGCCTCGCCTCCCTCGACTCTTCCTCCTCTCTTAAGGGTGTATTGACAGTATGTCGTTCCTATGAGGCTGCCAGGTGTGCTACCTCTGCCATCCGAGCTCCCCCTACAGCTGTACGGGCTATGTCCCAATACAAGAAAGACAAGAAATCTACCCCAACGCCTACGCCCACCACGCCCACGCCCGGCTCCCTTTGCAACAGCTGTGGTAGGCAGCACGAAACACAGGTGTGTCCAGCTGCCGAGTCTACCTGCGACAGTTGTGACCGCAAGGGCCACTGGTCACTTACAGCACGGTGCCCAGCCAAACACGTCCAGTGCAATGTGTGTGGCCGTCTGGGCCACTACGACAAGTGTTGCCCGACCAAAAAACCCAAGGGACAGCGTTGGCGAAAGCAGCAGCGCCCTTCCACCAGTGAGGGCCGCCCACAGTCGCCAAATCAGAGGCACGACGACCCTGGACAAAGCCCGACCCATATTAGGAGGGTGTGCTCCTCGGGTCCCAGGACCAAAGTTCCCCAGCACGTCAGCGTCATCGTGACCTACGGCAGTGTGTCATCCTGTCTCGAGATGCTGCCCGACACCGGCGCTGAGGCTACGATCATCGGTCCCCAGCATTTGCAATGCTTGGGGCTCTCTCCAAGTGATCTAGGATCGCCTCCCAAGGACCTCCGCGTCGCGGCAGATGGTTCACAGATGGCCCCAGCCCTACGTTTACTCTATGCACATGTCACCTTTGGCAACAGGTCGTGTCAAGCCTGAATTGACGTGCATAATGGTGTCCCGACTCCTTTGCTGTCCTACAGACATTGCCAAGAGTTGGCCACCATCTCCCAGGACTTCCCAACACCGATTCTCGAGGTAAAATATCCCAACAGGGTGCACGAAGGGAGCAGCAACTACCCTGCTGCCGCCCTACCCCTACCTCTGGCCAGTGACACCTCTCCTTCGGTAGTTGTCCCTGCTGCTTCACGTCCCCACGCCTTGGCTCGCCTCCACGACAGTCACCGTGGAGCTGAGGCCACCAAACGGCGTGCAAGACAGACTGTGTTCCGGCCTGGCATCGACCCCGACATCTCCAATGCTGTCCAGGCGTGTAAGCCCCGCCAAGTACTACAACCCAGCCAGCAGCAGGAACCCTTCATGAGTGACGACAACCCCACCCGCCCCTTTGAGTCTGTGTCGGCCGACTTTTTCTGTGTGTCAGGAGAGGCCTTCCTGGTTATCGTCGACCGTCTCTCTGGTTGGCCGGTTGTCATCAAGTGCGGTAATGATACGACATCTGCCGCCACCATCAGCAAGTTCCGCCACTACTTCCGTTACGTGGGCGTTCCTGTACGCCTGCGAACCAACGGAGGGCCCCAGTTCACAAGCCGGGACTTTGCTGCGTTCCTCGACCGATGGGGAGTCCGGCATGTGTTGTCACCGCCTCATTACCCGCAGTCCAACGGCCACGCTGAGGCTGCTGTCAAATCCCTGAAGCACCTCATCCTCAAAGTGGCCCCTTCTGGGAATATTGACTGCGAGGCCTTCGACCAGGGTCTCCTTGAGCTCCGCAACACACCCAATTACACCGGACGCTCCCCTGCCCAGGTCTTGTATGGACGCCCCCTCCGTTCTTGTGTCCCTGCTCACCCTCAATCCTTCTCCAAGGAGTGGCAGGCCAAGACAGAGGATTTTGATCGCCGAGCCGCCGAACGTATTCAAGACGTCGTCGCCCGCCGACCACGATCCTCTCCCCAGGTTGAGTGTCGGCACCCAAGTCCGTGTCCAGGACCCGACCTCCCTACGTGTGGGCATAGTCATGGGTCTCGGCAGGTCACGGGACTACCAGGTGCGGTTACCCAGCGGTCGGGTGTGGTGGAGGAACCGCCGTTTCCTCCGCCCCGTAACGCATCCCGCTGACCCCGTCACCAGTGCTGAGTCCCATATCCCCCCCAGTGATTAAGCCCCTCGATGCTCAGAATGGATCCACAGGAAAAGGTCCGCTCAAGATTTTGCTATGAGCGTATAGGGGGGGGGAGGTGTATGTATATTATGTATGTTGTATGTATACCATGTATGTACTCTATATATACACATTATTTCTCTAGTCAGTAGCATGTGGCAATGCCCCTGTTTCATGTCACCACACGCTTAGATAAATGTGCCTGGCGACATCTGGAAGCTGCTAGAATACCACTTACCACATGTAGCCTGAGAGGTCAGAGTGAGGTCAGTTGACCCTATAGGAGTGTAAGGACTACCTGCGCTTGTAAGCGCACTCCTGTATATTTCCGTTAATAAGAACCTACAGAACTCTACAGGTGTTCATGTTCGCCCCTGTAGTTAGAACTAAGTAGGCCTACCCCGAACATCTCCACAAACCAATGTCTACCTATCTCACGCCTAAATCTAAATTTGTCTAATTCAAAACCCATTGCTACGAGTTTGCTCCTGGTTGGATAGTTTGAGTACCTTTGTTATATCACCTTTGTTTAACCCTGACTTCCATTTATACACCTCGATCATATCGCCCCTCACTCTACGTCTCTCGAGGGAGTGCAAATTAAGATGCTTAACCTGTCTCTGTACTCAAGGTTCCTAATGCTTGGGATTAGTCTTGTCAGTTTCCTCTGAATTCCTTCTGTTGATTCTATATCCATTCTGTAATAAATGGAAGTCAGGGCTAAACAAAGCTGACATTACAAAGGTACTCAAAGTATCCAACATGGAGCGAACTCGTAACAATGCTTTTAAATGAGACAGATTTAGATTTAGGCGCGAAATAGTTAAACATTGGTTTGGAAATAGAGTAGTGGACGAGTGGAACAAGTTACCAAACATCATCATTAACTCGAATACGCTGGATAGCTTCAAACATAGGTTGGATGGATATATGAGCTATAGGGGTTGGGTGTAATGGGATCTGCCCAGTATGGGCCAGCAGGCCTTATGCAGTTTCCTCCATTTGTATGTTCTAATGTTCTTATGTGTAGTGTAGTGTATTATAAAGTAGGTGTGGTGGAATGTATTATAAAGTAGGCGAAGTGGAGTGTATTATAAAGTAGGTGTAGTGTTGTGTATTATAAAGTAGGCGTAGTGTATTATAAAGTAGGCGTAGTGTATTATAAAGTAGGTGTAGTGTATTATAAAGTAGGTGTAGTGTCGTGTATTATAAAGTAGGTGTAGTGTAGTGTATTATAAAGTAGATATAGTGGAGTGTATTATAAAAGGCGTAGTGTATTATAAAGTAGGTGTAGTGTAGTGTATTATAAGGTAGGTGTACTGTATTATAAAGTAGGTGTAGTGGAGAGTATTATAAAGTAGGTGTAGTGTAGTGTATTATAAAGTAGGCGTAGTGTATTATAAAGTAGGTGTAGTGTATTATAAAGTAGGTGTTGTGTAGTGTATTATAAAGTAGGTGTTGTGTCGTGTATTATAAAGTAGGTGTTGTGTAGTGTATTATAAAGTAGGTGTTGGTGAGTGTATTGTAAAGTAGGCGTAGTGGAGTGTATTATAAAGTAGGTGTAGTGGAGTGTATTATAAAGTAGATATAGTGTATTATAAAGTAGGTGTTGTGTAGTGTATTATAAAGTAGGTGTTGGTGAGTGTATTGTAAAGTAGGCGTAGTGGAGTGTATTATAAAGTAGGTGTAGTGTATTATAAAGTAGGTATTGTGTAGTGTATTATAAAGAAGGTGTTGTGTAGTGTATTATAAAGTAGGTGTTGGTGAGTGTATTGTAAAGTAGGTGTAGTGTATTATAAAGTAGGCGTAGTGGAGTGTATTATAAAGTAGGTGTTCTGTAGTGTATTATAAAGAAGGTGTTGTGTAGTGTATTATAAAGTAGGTGTTGGTGAGTGTATTGTAAAGTAGGTGTAGTGTATTATAAAGTAGGTGTAGTGGAGTGTATTATAAAGTAGGTGTAGTGGAGTGTATTATAAAGTAGGTGTTGGTGAGTGTATTGTAAAGTAGGCGTAGTGTATTATAAAGTAGGTGTTGTGTAGTGTATTATAAAGTAGGTGTTGTGTAGTGTATTATAAAGTAGGTGTTGTGTAGTGTATTATAAAGTAGGTGTTGTGTAGTGTATTGTAAAGAAGGTGTTGGTGAGTGTATTGTAAAGTAGTCGTAGTGGAGTGTATTATAAAGTAGGTGTAGTGTAGTGTATTTTAAAGTAGGCGTAGTGTATTATAACAGTGGTTCTCAACCTTGTTTGCCCCATGCACCCCTTTCACCATATGTCAGAATGTCATTCCCCCCTCCTTTCCAAGATTGTCTGCCTCAAAAAGTGCATTCCAAATAATATGCATATAATACTGAAAATCCTTTATTTTTTCCATATTAGTACATATACATTTACAATTTTACATGGATTATTTTTATAGTGGAATTTTACAAATTAAATGCCAATTGAAAATGTTGATGGATTTATAAAACTTGAATAAAAGTAAAATAGTTTTTTTTATATTCATAATGAATTACTTAACAGACCAAACTGAAGCATAATGCAATAAACAAAAAGTTCAATAGAATACCAGGATATTGTAAATTTGTAATTAATTTTATTCAGATGAAGATTACAGTCAATGAGAAACCTGTGATTGTTTTTTCTTCGCCAATTCTGGGATACCCAGAGGAGTGCTTGAAAGGGCACAACGCAGGTCATTTTCTACCTCTAATCTACTACGTTGCTTCGTTTTAATTTGCAACAGAGTTGAAAAGTCTGACTCACAAAGATATGTCGACACAAACGGAAGCAATGCACGGATAGCTCTTTCTGCCACTTTTGGGTAGGAATCGCACATCAAGGGCCAAAATTCTGTGATTGATTTCTCATCGAACATATCTCTTGCTCCCGAATCAATTTCCCCGAAAACCTGAATTCCCCCCTGGTTGAGAACCCCTGTATTATAAAGTAGGTTAGTAGGTGTAGTGTATTATAAAGTAGGTGTTGTGTAGTGTATTATAAAGTAGGTGTTCTGTAGTGTATTATAAAGTAGGTGTTGTGTAGTGTATTATAAAGTAGGTGTTCTGTAGTGTATTATAAAGTAGGTGTTGTGTAGTGTATTGTAAAGTAGGCGTAGTGGAGTGTATTATAAAGTAGGTGTAGTGGAGTGTATTATAAAGTAGGTGTTGTGTAGTGTATTGTAAAGTAGGCGTAGTGGAGTGTATTATAAAGTAGGTGTAGTGGAGTGTATTATAAATTAGGTGTTGTGTAGTGTATTGTAAAGTAGGCGTAGTGGAGTGTATTATAAAGTAGGTGTAGTGTATTATAAAGTAGGTGTTGTGTAGTGTATTATAAAGTAGGTGTTGTGTAGTGTATTATAAAGTAGGTGTTGGTGAGTGTATTGTAAAGTAGGCGTAGTGGTGTATTATAAAGTAGGTGTAGTGGAGTGTATTATAAAGTAGGTGTGGTGTATTATAAAGTAGGCGTAGTGTATTATAAAGTAGGTGTAGTGTATTATAAAGTAGGTGTAGTGTATTATAAAGTAGGTGTAGTGTATTATAAAGTAGGTGTAATGTAGTGTATTATAAAGTAGGCTGCAGGCTGTAGAGTAATTAAAGTCACACAAATTTCATTTTTGAGGGAAGAAGGACTTGTTCATATCAACAGTGACTATATAAATGTAAATTAATTGAAAATATTGCCTAGACCACACAGTTAACCTAATTCACCCTGTATAAAACAACTTCTACTGGATAAATTTTTTATTCAAGTAGTAGTAATTTTTCAGTAAAATGTTCATTAAATTTAAATGTCAAGCCTAGAAACAACGGACTTGCCAGAAAACTGAGTATGCACAAATTTGTCCACTCCTTTTGTCCAAACCAGGTCTTCAAAGCAAAGTGTTGTGGCACAGGTTACAGTGTGGATCATGCCTAGGCTGAGCCTGGTTAGAAGTTTCATGTTTGTCAGTGTTAATGTTGACAATCTTGCCTCACAACGATACGTGGTTGGGAATGTCAGAAGGATTTTCAGAGCTTCGGCAGCAGCATTTTTTTTTCATTGAAAAATGTGACCCAGAAAGTACTGAGGGAGTGATGCTTGAAGCTGTGGCGCAGTAAATCAACAACAAGTTGTATTTCTCTCAGTCGTTCCTGCAGTCCAGGTGCTCCGTTATCAAGTAAATCTTCCACATGAACACTGATTTCGAACCCAGCGGTAATTTTTGGTAATTTCAGCAGGAATATAGTGTTTGAATTCTTCTCTGAGAGCGTTCAAGTGCTCCAAGATACCCTCACGAATGTCCTCAAACGATTTCAATTAATTTTCTTCAAACTCTTCCAACAGAGGACTTAAGGACGGGAAAGACCTAGTCTTTCCTAGGTCTATTTTGCTTTTCCACAACTTCAGTTTATCTTTAAATGAGGTCAGGTTGTCAGTGAGTTTGATGAAAGTGTGACTCCCGACCTTGCATGAAAGTATTCAACTAATTAATTTCACCGAATAACTCTGCTAGGTAGGACACCTGGAGCAAGTATGTCGGCCCAGAGAACCTTCCAGCCAAACCATGCGCTGTGAGTGCATTTTATATTTAAAAATGCATCACTTTTAGTGCATTTCCCTTAGCCTTCAGTACAAACTTGTACTGGAGGCTGAAAGTACTGACTGACAGTTTAAATGCACATATACTTGATGCTTACTTTGAGTTAGTGTTACATCATTTCCTGATCATTTAGTATCAGTATGTCACATACATAAACAAAAGCAACTGAGTAAGAGGTAACAAGAAAATAACATCTTTGATTTCCGGCCACCAAAATCGCCATAACTACAGTTATGGTGATTTGGTGTTGGCCGTAAAATTCGCCAATTTTTGGTACCACTTACAACTTGTTATGAATTTATTCCGGGTTTGTAAAAAAAAGGCCTTTATTGACAGTTCATTAGTTAATTCTACTGAATGAAAATGAAACATGACAATGAAATGAGATTTTTTATTAGTCTTTAGGGTGTACCTAGATCAACTTTTGATTTATGATTTCTTCCACTTATCAGCTTATTTGCCATTCGGGTGGTCGGTCTGTTACTTTGCTACGGCCCACTTCCCAGTGTTAGTTCTGGCTGGAGAAAACCGGGGTAGGCCTACCTAGAGAAGCCGTGTTTGATAGTGTTACACTGTGTGTAAGAGGCACACACATTATCATAGTACCACCAACACACCTTTAATCAGGTACTCAAGGGCGCGTCAGGTCACCTACTTCCTGACGACGTACCTTACGTGGGGGACATCCACGTCTTCTCCCTCTCTGTCAATGGCGCAGATATCCAGCATCAACACAGGACTTATCCAGGGTTCCTCGCCTCCCTGGGCTTCGTCAGGAACGATTTGACCCTCACTCTGTTTGGTCTTTGCTTCCTTCATCACGTCTACGAGTATGTCGGAGATCCTGTGGAAGGAAGATAAGTCATGAAAGTGATCACAAATCCACCGGGGGATGAAAGAGAGAGTCTGGTGACAAAAGAAACAAAAAGAAAGGTCTTGAGACTGAAAACACGAGGAAGGATAAATAAAATCAGGGAAGGTTAATTCCGAGCAAGAGAAAGAAAGAGCAGAAACAAGAGAGAGGAAGAGCAGCACCACTCACTTCATGGTCCTTCTCCTTGCTCTCTCCTTCCTGGGTATCATAAAGGAGTGGATGGTGTGATTACCACAAGACACCATCGTCACCTCCAGCTGGTGATGATCCTTGAAGTAAGTGAAGAACTCCTCCAAGGTTATGTCCCCCTCCACCTCGAACCTGTCCCACAGTGTCCATGTCACTCCGTTGTACTGGAGAAGAGAGGTTCACCAACGTAGCCAATCATATTGATTTATCAAAATACTTTCTCAAAGTATCTCATGAAAGTGAATTATTCATCTAATAACACTCAACAAGTACAGTTTATTACTCTACATTGATCATTACTCTGCCTGTGCCTACAGAATTACTACTCACTATGTTTGTTGGTGCTGCTTCAGGTTCACTCAAACAGAACCTACAGAGACCGAGGTTAAACTCGCTGTTCTTGTAGCGTATTATGTCCCGGTGGTCCTGGGTGACCTTGAGCAACTCGAGGGTCACTAAGCCGGAGACGAGGGCAGTAGAGGTCACGATGGCTGGGATGATACGACCAGCGATTCTTTTGCTCTTCTGGCGGTCGGCTGGTTGGATGTCGTAGTTCCCGGCACGGAGATTGGACGCCGCTACGATGAAGTCGATATGGAAGTTCGCGTCGTCATCCTTCTCAAAGGAAAGAGGCATTATGGAGAGCCCTGCCACGCTCTCAGGTGATGGAATGGAGTCACTAAGTTCAGAGAGACACACACTCTCCATGTGGTAGCTCATCACCTCCACCGTGGGCTCTACTTTGTGCTTGGGTACAAACGGAGCGACGGTTACACACGACACAATCTCCTTCGTCTTTGTCCGATCTCTCTCCTGCTGGATGCCATACACCTCTGCTTTGAGGTTGGCTGTAGCGTGTATATAATCAAGGTGCAGCTTATTTTCTGCATCAAACACGAGGTAGTGTGGGCAACGCTTGGATCCTGACCAGAAAGGCCCACCATTACTGGTCTTTAGGTCTGGAGGAAAGTCTTGAAGAAGATCCAGAATCTGATCATGAAATTGATTCTGCCAGGACTGTCGTGCCCAAGACACACAGTCTACGTAGGATTTTGGAAGGTGGTCGGCCAGCGCATTCTTCAGTGTGTTGATACTTTCCACGCCTTGATGGTTAGGCATCTTCAGGATATCCTCCATTTTCATGGCTCCTGTTATATATTGTTTGGCAGTCTGAGGAGCGTGCCAGAACTCTCCTTCAAACATGTCACGTGCCCACTGTAATGTGTGTTCTATAGCGTTTGGAAAGTTCCTCAGTGTGCACACCGGAATGGACTTATCTGAAGGTGCCTGGAATAAAGTGTAGCGTTCTGTAAGGTGCGGTACCACCACCTGCACGCTGCCGTTCGTGCCCAGTGTCCCAGACTCCAGCAGAGGTCTTTGGTATTGCCAACAGCACCTGTCCATGTACCTCCTGGCCTCCACGTTGTCCAAGGCATTAGCAACTCCATGTAAACTCTCGTAGAAGGTGGAGCTATACACGTGTTCAGTCTCTGGCCCCACACGCACCTGGTGGGCGGTAATGTGGACATCAGGATTCATATTGACCACAGCGGCTGCGGCAGTGTCAGACTTGGGTTTCTTAATATCCCATGGACGAAAAAGGAACTGCCTGTTGAGATTACTCTTTTCGATGATGTCCATGTCGGTGACAGTGATGCTGCCGCCTTCGCCAGCACCAACACCCAACATAGCAAAGTTCTTCAGGAGTTCGCAGCCGATTGCTCCTGCACCCACAATGAAGTATTTTAGCTTTCCTAGCTTATCCTGGAAGTTACGGCCGAAAATAGCAACTTGGGCATCGTAGCGGTCGCCTCTTGGATCAGCACCACCAAGGAGGAGCTCCGAGAAATCCTCCGGCAGGCACTCCCTGGCATCAAAATATAGCCACTGGAACAATGGGGTGAATTTGCCAGAGCAAGCCTTCATCACTTCTTGGGCCGCGATGCTGCCAATCACCGCGTTCATGGGAGTTAACTCACCACTAGCCGTGTATGCAAAAATCCTCAACAGCTCTTCGTTGATGTTCTCTACTTTAGCTCGTCTAGTTTCGTTAAATTCGTAAAACATCTGCAGGAATTCTGTGGCGTCTTGATCGTTCCAGGGCCTGGGAAGAACGCCATTGACAGTCACATACTGATGCAGTGCTAAGAACGCCACGTGTACCTGCTCAACCTCCTCTTCCTTGGCGAAGTCCGGGCATATGATGGTCGGGTCCTCCAGAGATTCTTTCAGAGATTTGAAGGTCATTGTCTTGCCCAGCTTGACCTGTCTAGCTGTGCCTCCACCTTCATACTCTGGCAAGTCTCGAGTGTCTCCAATACTGAAGGAGGAGGGACTGTGAACCTGCAGGAGGAGGAGATGATGTTACAATTATCCTTTAGTTTAATTTGTATCTTTTAACTGACAGTATTATCATCGTAGTTCTCTCTCTCTCTCTCTCTCTTTCTCTCTCTCTCTCTCTCTCTCTCTCTCTCTCTCTCTCTCTCTCTCCACCAGACCTTGATTTTGTGTGACTTGGATAGGTTGAGCTCAGTCATACCGCGGATGCCGGAGAACGTCACAAAGTCACCATCCTGGAGCCAGTGGAAGGTCTTGTCTGGGAAGGTCACCACACCTTCCTCCTGTGTACGGAGAACATGGTAGAGTAAGTATGAATCTCTCTCTCTCTCTCTCTCTCTCTACTACTACCCACCTCTCTACATACCTCTCTAGTTATGCCCTCCACGTTGAGAGTAAGTGGTTCCTTGCCGTCCGGATCCACCACCAGGAAATTGTCACCAAAGTCGCAGAAGACTTGACCGAACAACCCCCGGGTAGAGGCGTCGACGAGGGCGACGTTGAGCTCACGACACAAGGACGACACCTGCAGTTGTTCCTCCAAGCTTGAGTCTAGCGGAGGGCGAGGTCATGAATCATTTACTATAATGTACTGGGATAATTAAACGTGCTAGACAAGCAAACAGTCAGACAGACAGACAGACGGACAAACAGAGAGAGAGACAGACGGGTAGATAGACAGACACACACACAGACAGAGGGAGAGAGAGAGAGACAGACAGAGAGACAGATGGGTGAACAGACAGACACAGACAGAGAGAGAGAGACAGAAAGACAGAAAGGCACACAGATAGACAAACTGACAGACAGACAGTTTGTAAAAAGCGCAATGCAACTTTACATTAATTCTGACATTATCGGTAAATAATTCAGCATGTGCTTAGCCAGTGCAAATGTAGAATGAGACAGAGAACATTAGACAGAGGGAAACAGGTGTAAGGAGGAGAGGGAATGAAATACGATGATAAAAAATAATTGAACAGATATCAAACAGTATCACTTGTCAACACCCTGAGAGTAACAGGATTAGAAGAGTTAATTACAGGTGTCAACAAACGACCATCACCTGTAAGAACAAGGATGTTTATCCCCTGGAGAAGGTCGCGGGTGAGTGGTCGCGTGGTGTTAGTGACGGTGACGTAGGGATTGAGCTCAGCAAGACGACCACAACACGACTCCGCTCTGTTCTTCCCTAAGTCCTCACGACCCAGAAAGAACTGGCTGGAAAGATCGTGCAGAGTCGTCTTCTTCGTGTCATGTAAGGTTACTGACTTGACTCCGCTGAGGATAACGTTCTTGGCAATCTGTTGTGTATAAGAGGAACTGATACTTTTGTAAACTTGATTAGTGGGTGAGTTTTATGCTTGATGGGTGGGTGTGTTAATGCTTCATTATTAGACGTGTCTTATGCTTGATGGGTGGTGTGTTAATGCTTCATTATTAGTCGTGCTTTATGCTTGATGGGTGGGTGTGTTAATGTTTCATTAGTAGTCGTGTTTTATGCTTGATGGGTGGGTGTGTTAATGTTTCATTATTAGTCGTGCTTTATGCTTGATGGGTGGGTGTGTTAATGTTTCATTATTAGTCGTGCTTTATGCTTGATGGGTGGGTGTGTTAATGTTTCATTATTAGTCGTGCTTTATGCTTGATGGGGGTGTGTTAATGCTTCATTATTAGTCGTGCTTTATGCTTGATGGGTGGTGTGTTAATGTTTCATTATTAGTCGTGTTTATGTGATGGGTGGGTGTGTTAATGTTTCATTATTAGTCGTGTTTTATGCTTGATGGGTGGTGTGTTAATGCTTCATTATTAGACGTGTTTTATGCTTGATGGGTGGTGTGTTAATGCTTCATTATTAGACGTGTCTTATGCTTGATGGGTGGGTGTGTTAATGTTTCATTATTAGACGTGTCTTATGCTTGATGGGTGGGTGTGTTAATGTTTCATTATTAGTCGTGTTTTATGCTTGATGAGTGGGTGTGTTTTATGCTAACCTAACCAAACAATTATTGTATCATTAAAAATGATTTAGATTTTACGCATATATTTCTGCAAAGGTGAAAGTAAGGCGTATGATGTAAATACTAATAAAATATATATATATATATATATATATATATATATATATATATATATATATATATATATATATATATATATATATAAATACATATATGCAAGTAAATCACTGTGGGTGCTCGTGATCTAGGTATATGCTGATAAAGAACATAAGAACATAAGAAAATAAGGAGTCTGCAATAGGCCGGTTGGCCTGTGCATAGCAGCTCCTGTCGAGAGTTACTATCACTCTCTATCATCCATGAATCTATCTAGCCTCCTTTTGAAACTTTCCAGAGTTCCGCACTTACTATAAAGTTGCTAAGCTTGTTCCACTCGTCCACCACCCTATTTGTGAACCAGTTTCTTCCTCTCTCCCTCCTAAACCGAAACTTATCCAACTTGAATCCGTTGCTCCGAGTCCTATCCTGCTCGGATATTATAAGAACTTTATCTATATCCCCTTTATTGATTCCTTTCACCCACTTAAATACTTCTATCATATCTCCCCGCACTCTTCGTCTTTCTGGGGAATGCAAGTTAAGTTTCTTTAACCTATCCTGATATGGAAGGTTTTTAAGTCCCGGAATCATTTTTGTCATTCTTCGCTGCACCGACTCTAGTGAATTTATATCCATTCTATAATAGGGGCACCAGAACTGAACAGCATAATCGAGGTGCGGCCTGACGAGCGCAAGATATAGTTGCAGTAAGACCTCTGCACTCTTGCTACTTACACTTCTAGATATAAAACCCAATACTCTGTTTGCCTTATTTCGAACATTAACGCACTGTTTTCTAGGCCGTAGGTCCGGGCTTACAAGTACCCCTAGGTCTCTTTCACAAGTCGACTTCTCTAGGTTGATGTTGTTAAGGCTGTATACATTATCAGTATTTGTTCTTCCAATATTAAGTACGCTGCACTTGCTGGTGTTGAATTTCATTTGTCATTTTTCAGACCACCCCTGCAGTTTATTTAGATCCTCCTGTAGTGCATTTGCATCCTGCCCTGAATTAATCTGCCGCCCTATTTTGGTGTCATCCTCAAACTTGCTTATGTCACTGCTGATCCCAGTATCTAGATCGTTTATGTAGATTATGAACAAGAGTGGGCCTAGTACTGACCCCTGGGGAACCCCACTGGTTACACGGCCCCACTTAGATTTAACACCATCTACGCTGATCCTCTGCGTTCTATCGGTGAGCCATGATTTTATCCAATTTAAAACTTTCCCCTCGATACCATGAGCCTTAATTTTTCTCAGAAGCCTCTGATGCGGTACTCTGTCAAATGCTTTGCTAAAGTCTAAGTAAATAACATCGTAATTTTTGTCATTATCTACTACCTCGAAACTTTCCTAAAAAAGTCAGCAGATTTGTTAGACAAGATTTTCCCTTTGTAAACCCATGTTGAGAGTCGTAGATTAATTTGCTTTTGTCTAGATGCGATCAGATGCTATCTGATATAATTGATTCAAGAAATTTCCCCACTACTGATGTCAAACTGATCGGCCGGTAATTTGACGCTGATGCTCTGTCTCCCTTTTTTGAATATGGGTACTACATTTGCCTGTTTCCACAAGTCTGGCACAACTCAGGTGTCTAATGATTTTGTAAATAAGTTTACGAGGGGTCCGCTAATCTGTTCCCTACACTCTTTCAAGACTCGAGGGAAAAATTTCATCCTGCCCTGGAGATTTTGTTTTCTTTAGTTTATTTATCTTCTTAAGAACATCCTCTTTTCTGATAGTGATATTCTTTAATTTCTCTTCTTCCTTTCCCTTAAATATCAGTTCCACCTCTGGAATTTCATCACAAATTTCTTCTGTGAAAACTGATAAGAAGTAGCTGTTCAATGCTTTGCTTATTTTCTTCACTGCCATTTATCACTTCTCCCCTCCCTGACTTTAAAACCCCAACTTTGTCCTTGACTTTTGCTCTATATACCTGGAAAAATCCCTTGGGATTCGCCTTGGACTCTCTTGCTATTTTGATTTCATAGTCTCTCTTTGCTTTCCTTACATTTTTCTTAACATTCCTAGATAGTTCATTATACCTATTTCTGAGCTGCTCCTCCCCTCCCTTTAATTCCTTATATATTCCTTTCTTTATTCCTATGTCATGTTTAAGTTTTCTGGTCATCCACCTTGGCTCATTCTTATTTGACCTAATTTTTCTGTATGGTATATTTTGTTCTTGTGCTTTATGTAGTATACTAGTGAATATATTATAGTCATGATCAATTGTTGTGTCATCTACGACCTCACCCCTTCCTACTGGGGACTGACGTGACTGTTCCCAGGTGACCTCACCTAGGTACCTTCTTAACCCCTGATAATCCGCCAACCGAAAGTTTGGGACTCTGACCATATTGTCAATTCAATTTTCAATTTCAATTGTTTATTCCTTGATAGAGGACGCGGGATCCTAGTGCTGTCACTAGGTACCCCTGTACAATGACACCGGAAGCATCTGGCAAGTGTGACAAGTATATACAGTATAAATATTATAAAGGGGCTTACTAAAGCCTAAGGAAGGAAGGATATTCCTTTAACACATAATCAATGTTATTTACATAATATCTGGCTAGTATGGGGAGGATCATCGTGTCTCCGTCAGGGGGTCGTGGACTGGTGGTCCAGCAGGCGTCACGGAAGCGTTGTGTGAGGGGAAATCTTAGGAGGTGACCATATTGTCATTGTTTTTTGTTTCCCAATTTAGGGTGAACCTGATTTCTCTGTGATCACTGTTCCCTAGTTCTTCCCCTACTGTGATATCTCTGATAATATTTTCTTTATTTGTTAATACTAGGTCTAATATATTGTCACCTCTAGTAGGTTCTGTAATTAGTTGTTTCAAAAAATTTTCCTGTACTGTGTCTAGGAAGTCTTCAGATTCATAGTCACCTAAAGTGTTGTCCCAGTCAATATTTCTGAAGTTGAAATCCCCCATAATGCACAGGTTGTTATATTTTGCTGCCCTACTCATTTCCTGCCATATAGGCTGAGCTTCTTCTTTCCCAAGACTTGGGGGGCCTGTAAATCACTCCCATAATTAGTTTTTCTCTTCCTTCCGTGATTTCTACCCATACAGACTCGGTTCCTATTTCACCCTTTATTGAATTATTGATACAACATTTTAATGTATCCTTGACGAAGAGTGCGACCCCTCCCCCCTCCCTACCTTCCCTGTCCTTGTGAAAATGGTTGTACCCTTCTATGTGGTACTCTGATAAAAAAATTTTGCTCGCCAGATTCATCCAAGTTTCGGTGATTGCTATGACGTCTACATTCTCGGTACATACAACCGCTCTCAGCAAGTTTATTTTATTTCTAACGCTCCTACTGTTTGTATAGTAAACATTTAAACCTACCCTTCCCTGGTCCTGTTTTACCCCTTGTCCTGATTAACTAATTTTACTTCCCAGGACCTGCTTGTTTTTTGACTCCCACTTTCCCTGACCTCTCTCTACTGGCGAAACCCCCCCTTTGGAGTGACAATTTCATGCTCCAGGGATGCAGACAACGTCTTTACCCCCTCACGAGACAAGTGTACTCCGTCGCGACTGTACAGGTAGTCGTTGCCATAGAATCGTTGCCAGCTATCAATGAATGTCCAACCATTGTTTGCACAATGTTTTTCCTGTAGGCAATTTATAGCAATTGCCCTGGACAGCCATTCACGACCACAAGTAAAGAAGAAAACACGAAGTTCCCAAGCGCTTTCGTGTAATTCACATCTTCAGGGGTGAGTACAGACTAAGGAGAAGTACAAAACAAGGTGTATATATACAGAGGAGGGTGAGACCAGGTCCACAATGGTCAGGTATTAGGTAATGACCCTACTAATCTTTAAATAGCACCGTAACGGTCGGTAGTCAGGTCAGAGGGTAAGGTGACCTTACCCTCTGGGTCACCTTACCCTCTGACCTGACAGCTCCAACAACTTGTCCCTGAATACGAATTCGCAACTTTCGATTTACAGCAGATACTTACATTGCTGCTAGGTGAACAGAGACCAAGGGGACTAGGAAGAGTGTCCAAACAACTTCCGCCTGCCCGGGAATTGAACCCGTGACATCTTGCTTGCTAGGCAAGAGCGGTACCGCTCTACCACCAGCGCCCCTAGATGTTAGATGTTGTCTAAAATAAATCCCCATAACTTTTGTACAGTATGTTAACTGGGTATCAGGTTTATTAGTTTCATACAAAATGCTTTGGTTAGGGTTATATTTTTTACGGGATTAGCCCACCAGGGCACAGGTCAATGACCCACATCAGGGCCTGGGGGCGAAATATTAATAATAATAATAATAAAAATAATAAAGGACCATAAATTAATTAAAAAAAAAGATTAATAGTGAGAAACAATATATGTATGTCGTGTTGTCAAAGTAAGAGAAACAATTGAATCGCCGCAATTGTGTGTAAATGAGGCAGAAAGTTAGATCAGCAACCTGGGACTTGGCCACAATTTTCGTGATACCATATGGCAGCAGGGTCTACCATAGACAACACATTATGCTTCCAATATCTTCCCAGGCGGTAGTACCTCCCAGTTTGGTAGGTTAGGTTAGGTATATTAATACGTACACTTGAGTTAATTGTGTTTACAGGTCGACACTACTACACTAAATAAAATTATGGCCTGTTGCTTAATGAACCACAATATTGTCATCTAACCTAACCTAACCTAACAGAATCTAACTTCACCTAACCTCACAGAATCTAACTTACCCCGTAACCTAACATAACATACTCTAATTTAACCTAACATAACAAAACTAAACCTCACAGAATATAAAAATATCATAATCAGATGTAAAAACAAATCATAATTTAGCACATAACCTAACACTACATAAAACACTTTATAGCCAAACCTAACCTAACCCAACCTAACCTAACCAAGCATTGTTAGAGTATTTTATGAAGTGAAATAAGCTAGGGGCTAATCTTCAGGTGGTCAGTAGTGCGTTTAAGAATGAAGAACAAGAAAGATGTTGAAGCCGACCACACTATATTCACATCAATAAACATACAGTGATGGTTACATTTCTTTCTGACCCTATTGACCCCCAGGCAAGACACTGACCTCAACACCGAGTCCGCCGAGGCCAGAGATGAGAATGTCAGAGGCGGCCATCTTATAGGCTGCTTCCTGGCCCAAGACGTACAGCTGACGGGAGTACAGCGTCTCGTCCAGCTCTCCGCCTGACCCAGCCATGGCGACTCCTGACCCGGTAAGGTGAGTATGGTGTACTGGTAACAAAAGTTAAAAGTAATATCAAATAACAGTAGGTAACAAACAGTAGGTAACAGCAACAGTAGGTAACCGAAACAGGAGGTAACAGTAACAGTAGGTAGCAGAAACAGGGAGTAACAGTATGCATTAAGCAGAAACAGGGGGTAACAGTAACAGTATGCATTATTAACAATAATAGTAGGTAAAAGTAACAATAATAGTAGGTAAAAGTAACAATAATAGTAGGTAACAGTAAAAATATAGTAACTTCGCCAGCAGTACCCTTCATGCGTCTGGCAGGTCTCACTTAGCTCGGATTTTCAGTCAGGGTTACGGGCTACTTGTATTACATAAGAACATAAGAATGGAGGAAACTGCAGCGGGCATATTGGCCCATACTAGACAGTCCCATTTACACCCAACCCCTATTGCTCATATATCCATCCAACCTATGTTTGAAGCTATCCAGCGTATTCGAGTTAATAATGATATTTGGTAACTTGTTCCACTCGTCCACTACTTTATTTCCAAACCAATGTTTACCGATCTCGAGCCTAAATCTAAATTTGTCTAATTTGAAACCATTGTTACGAGTTCACTCCTGGTTGGATAATTTGAATACCTTTGTAATGTCCCCTTTGTTTAGCCCAGACTTCCATTTATACACCTCTATCATATCGCCCCTCACTCTACGTCTCTCGAGGGAGTGCAAATTAAGATGCTCTAACCTGTCTCTGTACTCAAGGTTCCTAATGCCCGGGATTAGTCTTGCCATTCATCCCTGAATTCCTTCTGGGGTTTCTATATCCATTCTGTAATACGGTGACCAGAAATGATCTGCATAATCCAAGTGAGGTCTCACAAGCGCAAGATATAGTTTACAATGACCTCGCTAGTCTTGTAACTAACACTCCTTTGTATGAACCCAAGTACTTTATTAGCCTTGTTTCGAGCAAATACACATTGTTTACTTGGCTTAAGGATCCTACTTCTCATTACTCCTAAATCTTTCTCGCAGTCGGATTTTTCTATAACATCGTTGTTCATCTGGTATCTGGTTTCTCTGTTTGCATCTCCTAAACTAAGTACTTTACATTTGTCCACATTGAATTTCATCTAACATTTCTCAGACCATTCGAAAAATGGTCCAAGTAGTGACGTTGCTCCAGTCGGGTTTAGTGCAGTTAATGTTCACTCGCTGTTTCCTGTCCTGTACGCATGCCCTAATCCATTTTAGAAAATCTCCTCCAATGCCATGAGCCTCCACTTTTCTTATAATTCTTTCGTGGGGGACTCTGTCGAAGGCTTTGCCAAAGTCGAGATATACCACATCATAATTGTGCCCCTCGTCCACTGATTCGAAAACAGCTGAAAAGAATGTTGATAGATTAGTTAAACATGAACGCCCGCTTATGAAGCCATGCCGAGAAACATTGATCAACTTGTGCTTCTGCAGGTGATTTCGAATAGAGTTTGAAATGATTGCTTCCAGTAATTTGCCTACAATTGATGTTAAACTGATTGGGCGGTTGTTAGAGGATAGTGATCAATCTCCCTTCTTGAAAATTGGTATTACAGTACATTCGCTAGCCTCCAGGATTCTGGTACTAAATCCGTTTTTAAGGACATGTTAAACAACTTTGCTTAGGCCTTAAACCATCATCCATAAATTATTATAGTTCCCACCATCATCCTTAAAGTATCATACCATACCGTAAACCATCATCTTTAAATTGTTATAGCTTAATTAAACCATTATTCTTAAATTAATATAACTTAAGCCACAATCCTTAAATTACTATAACTTAAACCATCATCCTTAAAGTATTATAGCTTACCTTAAACCATCATCCTTTGAGTCGTATAACTTAAAGCATCATCCATAAAGTGTTATATAATGACTGCTTTTGGCACTATTATAATGGTACCCTCTGACACCATTGTAATGGTAAGAGTTATAGTAGGTGGGATTGCAAAATGAGGAAAGTTGGTAGCGTGGCCCACTAGTTACTTAGTATTACCTATATTTTAGGGGGAACTTGTAAATAACAATTCTAACTACTGTTAATTATTAGTGAACTGACTGAACATGAGTCATATTTAAAGATCATTATATTGTCATTACCAGATAATGATACCTAGACATAACCTGACGTGGATAAACACTTCCTACCACAGTAACTCACCCTCGCTCTGAATAACTACTGAGCAATTGTTGAATAATTTAGTGAATAATTTGGTATTATACATTTAAGTATTTTACATTTGGGTGAATTTCTATATAGTTTAAGGGTGCTATTTCACAATGTCCCCCCCCCACCCTGTAACCTGTGTGAGGGTCAGCAGCTGGGGACTCTCGGTCATTTTTTAAACACTCGGGTTACTTATTAGTAACCCGAAAGCTGACCTGTGCCCAGTTGGGCTAATCCCCGTAAAAAAAAAAAAAAACCCTCCGAGCCGTCTGACTGTACGGTCTGAGACTGCTGGCGAGAGTGGTCCTCCTCCCAACCCGGGCCTCGGCTGGATTCGGTCTCTTTTATTTGGTTTTCTGGGTCACAGTACATTCACAAATCGATCTTATCTAGGATAGTTTATGGTGGTGTGTCCTGTTTACTGTAGGCCTGTTCCTGGCGCGACCCTTACAGGGAGGTACTATCCCTTGGGAAGATATTGTCTAAATGTCTAATGGTAGACCCTGCTGCCATATGGCATCACGAACATTTTTACCAAATCCCAGGTTGCTGATCTGACTTTCTGCCTCATTTACACACAGTTGCAGGGTCTCAATTGTTTCTCTTAATTTTACAACACAACATACATATATTGTTTCTCACTATCGATCTTTTTTTCTTTTCTTTTTTTTATTTATGGTCCTATAATAATAATAATAATAATAATAAATTATTATTATCGCCCCCTGCACCTAATGTGGGTCGTTGACCTGTGCCCTGGTGGGATAATCCTGTAAAAATATTACTGCTGGCGGTAGTACAGTTTATTGGATAAAGAGGATCATCAAAAGATTAGATTTCTTTTTTTAGATTGCCCACGAGGGGGCTAGTTTATTGGGCACCCCCTTATATCCTGTGAGAAGGCAAGAATTCCTTATCCCTTTGTGACCCTTGTTGGGTCAGGTCTTTATCTCGTTTTCTTAATGTAAGAATTGTTATAACTTAAACCATCATCCTTAAAATATTATAACTTAAACCATCACCCTTAAAATATTATAACTTAAACCATCATCCTTAAAATATTATAACTTAAACCATCATCCTTAAAATATTATAACTTAAACCATCACCCTTAAAATATTATAACTTAAACCATCATCCTTAAAATATTATAACTTAAACCATCATCCTTAAAGTATTATAACTTAAACCATCATCCTTAAAGTATTATAGCTTAAACCATCATCCTTAAAATATTATAACATAAACCATCATCCTTAAAATATTATAACTTAAACCATCATCCTTAAAATATTCTAACTTAAACCATCGTCCTTAAAATATTCTAACTTGAACCATCAGCCTTAAAATATTCTAACTTAAACCATCATCCTTAAAGTATTCTAACTTAAACCATCATCCTAAATGTATTATAACTTAAACCATCATCCTTAAAGTATTCTAACTTAAACCATCATCCTTAAAGTATTATAACTTAAACCATCATCCTAAAAGTATTATAACTTAAACCATCATCCTTAAAATATTATAACTTAAACCATCATCCTTAAAATATTATAACTTAAACCATCATCCTTAAAATATTATAACTTAAACCATCATCCTTAAAATATTATAACTTAAACCATCATCCTTAAAGAATTATAACTTAAACCATCATCCTTAAAATATTATAACTTAAACCATCATCCTTAAAATATTCTAACTTGAACCATCAGCCTTAAAATATTCTAACTTAAACCATCATCCTTAAAGTATTCTAACCTAAACCATCATCCTTAAAATATTATAGCCTAAACCATCATCCTTAAAATATTCTAACTTGAACCATCAGCCTTAAAATATTCTAACTTAAACCATCATCCTTAAAGTATTCTAACCTAAACCATCATCCTTAAAGTATTATAACATAAACCATCATCCTTAAAGAATTATAACTTAAACCATCATCCTTAAAATATTCTAACTTAAACCATCATCCTTAAAATATTCTAACTTGAACCATCAGCCTTAAAATATTCTAACTTAAATCATCATCCTTAAAGTATTCTAACCTAAACCATCATCCTTAAAGTATGATAACATAAACCATCATCCTTAAAGAATTATAACTTAAACCATCATCCTTAAAATATTATAACTTAAACCATCATCCTTAAAATATTCTAACTTGAACCATCAGCCTTAAAATATTCTAACTTAAACCATCATCCTTAAAGTATTCTAACCTAAACCATCATCCTTAACGTATTATAACATAAACCATCATCCTTAAAGAATTATAACTTAAACCATCATCCTTAAAATATTCTAACTTAAACCATCATCCTTAAAATATTCTAACTTGAACCATGAGCCTTAAAATATTCTAACTTAAACCATCATCCTTAAAGTATTATAACTTAAACCATCATCCTAAAAGTATTATAACTTAAACCATCATCCTTAAAATATTATAGCCTAAACCATCATCCTTAGAATATTATAACATAAACCATCATCCGTAAAATATTATAACTTAAACCATCATCCTTAAAATATTATAACTTAAACCATCATCCTTAAGATATTATAACTTAAACCATCATCCTTAAAGTATTATAACATAAACCATCATCCGTAAAATATTCTAACTTAAACCATCATCCTTAAAGTATTATAACTTAAACCATCATCCTTAAAGTGTTATAACTCCTTCCAAAACTACCTCTTGGCCTACTTACCACAACGTTGCAGGGGAGAGAAGGTGTAGGTTGAGGTACTTGTTGTGGAAGACGTGAGACCCACTTGCCACACTTCTCTATATTGTCACTTGTGTGTGGGCGAGTTACCAAAACGTTTTAGGGTAGAGGAGAGCTGTGTAACCCTTGGTCGGGGAAAGGAGGTGCACCACACCTTGCCTCACACTGGTGCCTCACTACCCTTATCACTGTCTCTATCTCTCACACACTTACACACACACACTATAGCTTCTGTTATCATACTTTGTATCATCAAAAGAGCAGCAACAGCACTCGCCTCATCCCCTTCCCTTGTACACCTCTAGTTACAGTTTCCTTCCTCACTTGGACAACATTTTCTCACTAAATTTAGATTAATTGTTCTGATGTGCTTAAAGAATTAGCAGTACCTTATCGAAGACCAAGACCTTGAAGTCGGACTACCAGTTATCAGTCTTAGATAAGGTCTGACCCGTGTGTTGTGTTACTACCTGGTGTCTCTCAAACTACTGTATTTGGTACCTTTCATTTACTTCATTCTACTTTTTCTAGCATCTTTATCTTAACATTGTCATGCTCTATTTGACATTATTACTATATTTTTAACTACTTTATCTGGTATCTTTAATTATTTACTTTAGTCTGCTTTACCTGCTTCCATTACTTTATTTTATCCATCTGGCCCCTTAACGTTATCCTCTTCACCACTTGTCAACTCACTACTAGCCAGGCAGGTGTGTTACGGCTCCTTAAATATATCGGAAAGTGGCCCTGTGTTATGTTATTATCCCGTAGCTGCTGATCTCCTTTGAGGCTTAAACTATCAACACTTGTACACCATTACCACGTCATTGATAACGAGGAAGGACGCGCCTTGTTATGGAAGTCATACTATTGCAATTTTAGACACCATTTTGGCCTCCTCCTTCGTGTCTGAGAATCTTACATAGAAAAGAATTAGAATAGGTTCAATCTACACAGCACCACACCTCTCGTCACACTTGCAGACGGAATAGGGGGAAGGGAAGGGGGCGGGGGCGGGGAGGCGTCTTAAACAAAAATATAACTTTTACTGCTACAGCACTTAGTCACTATCGTGTACAAATTTCACTTCACCACCTCAGATATCGCCCCGAGAAACAAGAAAAAGAAACAAAAGGGGGTAAACCACTGACTACCCTCCCTCTCCCCTTCCCTTCCTTCTTTCCTCCTTCTCTCCCTCCTTCCTTCCCTCTCCCTCTCCCTTCCCCACACGTGTTTCGCTAGGCACCTGAAGAAGAGATGGCAGAAAGGGGGGGGGGGGTCCAAAGACTTAACATACGAATTTCTAAGAATCCGTGTTTGTTGATGGCGTTGTGGTGCCGGAGGGTAGAAGAGGGTAAGGGAGGAGGTTTTAGGTGAATGGAGAAGATACAGGTATGGAGGGAGGGTGTGGGGAGGGAGAAAAGGTGACGGGAGGGTGATTGAAGGAAATGAGGGCGTGTGGAAGGGAGGAATTCAGAAACATAATATCCTTTGATTTTTGTTAATAATAGCTTAAGAAAACAGGGTATTCGTGTAAATAAATAACTCATATTAATGAAGAGATAATTAAATCTTTCTGAAATATTACTTGACTCAACAATCCAAATAACCTAAAATAGAACTCAGCACACCATTACTTAGTTTGAATCGGATTTCTTAAAACATAATTTTCTTAATAGATTAAATAAAACTTGATTTTTTTTACATGTAACATGACCTTAAAAACAAAATGTTAGTGTGGTGTAACAACATCCTGGTATACGTAACTCAATAATATTATCTGTGTTATCATAGAGGGGCTCACCGCTATCAATTCTAGGAAGGGGCTTACCGCTGGTGTGACAAGAGCAAGACTTGTATAGCGCAGTTATCATGATCCCGTATCTCTCTCTCTCTCTCTCTCTCTCTCTCTCTCTCTCTCTCTCTCTCTCTCTCTCTCTCTCTCGTTCTGTTTCCTTTGTCTTTGTCTTTCGTCCAAATAATATCCAATTATTTTACACACACACACACACACACACACTAATACTACTACTTTGCTGTCACTCGGTATTGAGTATGAAGATCATCCAGCTATGATACAATGATATGAGTTATTAAAAATGTCACCGTTGGTGAGCTCTAAAGTGACGGCAGGGCCGTCCATAGATGTTGCACGTGTGGAGGGCTACATCTACTATTGGGGGGAGGGGGGGGCGGCAACGTCTTTCCGGCATTGGAGTTTGTCTGCCTATGTATACAGTCGGACTAACTCGAAAGTATTGACACCTTCTCGTGTGGTGCTCCTCCAAGCCTTACGGTGTGGATCGATTTGGCACTTTTTCAGGTTTGTCTCAAGGCTATCCTTATACCTTTTCCGTTTCCTGCCAACTTTAGGTTTGCCATTATTTAGGTGACTGTAAAGTAGCTACTTTGGCAGTCGACTGTCGTCCATGCAGGTAACATGGCCTCAATGAACCTACAGTTGGTGTAAGCAAGAATACTGGCATTTGTTCTTTTGGCTTCCCAGCGAACTCGGAGGATGGAACGTAGACTACGGTGGTAAAAGTTTTCAAGTGCCTTGAGGTGCCTCCTGTACGTGACCCATACAGCAGAGTGGGGAGAACCACTGGTCGATATACGCGCAGTTATGTACATAATTTTAGCTCCCTACAGCCGAAGACACGGGTACAGAGTCTGCCAAAGGCTTGGGATGCATATATGATCCAATGTTAAAATGCTTCATTGATGTCCGCAATGGTGGACAGGTAAGAGCCAAGGTACTGGAATTGTTTAACATTGGAAAGGGTAGTACCATTGGAAAAGAATCTGAGTCTTGCGTACATTCACCTCAAGGGCGAAGTGTGCCTACACATCTGCGTAGGTATTCAGAATCTCCTGAAGGTCACGTTCAGTGTGAGAGATGAGGGTGATGTTGTCTGCATACTGAATTTCAAAGGTGGAAGTGGCCGACAACTTCGTTCCTGCCTGGAGTCGTGTTATGTTGAAAAGACACTTCATCCGGTACTGGATGTCCACCCCACCGGCTAAATTGGCACTGACACGAGTAAGGAAAACAGCCAAGAAAATGGAAAAAAGAATTGGTGCCATTACACATCCTTGTTTTACCCCCGTTTGGATGAGGAAGATCTCAAACTGGGTACCATAGTGAAGGACACTGCTGTTCATGCCATCATGGAGTTGCCTGACAGTGGCGATGAATTTTGGTGGGCAGCCAAAACGGCTTTGGGTTGACTGAGTTGAATGCCTTGGTAAGGTCGATTAAGGCCATGTACAAGTCACGACGCTGTTCTCGGCTCTTTTCCTGTATCTGGCGGGCAGGAAAGATCATGTCAGTGGTGCTACGTGATGGTCTAAAGCCACATTGAGATTCTGGGAGGAAGTTTTCCGCCTCAGGAAGAATTCTGTTTAGGAGTACTGGAACGATAATCTTGCTAGCTACAGACAGCAGTGAGATCGCACGGTAGTTGCCACAGTTTGACGAGTCTCCCTTGTTCTTAAAAATATTGACGATAGAGGCATCTTTAAGAGCTTGGAGGATTTCCTTCTTTTCCCATATATTCTCCAGGAAAGAGTGGAGACGGCTGGTAAGGAGAAGTCCTCCTGCTTTATACACCTCGGCTGGGATTCCATCAGACCCAGAGGCTTTGTTATTTTTCATCTGTTTGAAGGTAATAGTTACTCATCCAGAGATGGAGGATTGCTGAGGTGGGTCAGCTCTGGATGCTGAGGGACCTGCTGGGTAGTCAAGACATCCATATTGGTATTTCGGTTTAGCAGTGAATGGTATTGTTCTTTCCATCACTGACGGATGCCTTCTTTGTCTTTAATTAGGGAGTTACCATCGAATGAGCAGAGGGGAGCAGTGCCATAAGTGATTGGGTCATGAAAATGTTTCAGTGGATTTGAAAAATTCGCGCACCTTGTGCTGATCTGTAAATTTTTGTGTTTCACATGTTTTATTTTTAAACCAGTCGTTCCTTAGTTTATGAAGTACACGCTGGGCCACCGCTTTCTTCTTGCAGAAGGTATCAGCTTTGGTCAGACACTGAGGGTTCTTCTGCCAGGCAGTTAAAGCAGCACGTTTATCATTGATGAGTGCATTGATTTCCGGGTCATTTTCATCAAACAAGTCCTGGAGTATTCTTTCGATCTGGCCGAGGGTCTCTCTGCAGGTTTTTGTCATGACAGTGCCATGAATATCCCATTCGGCACTGGGATTTAAGTTTTTTGTTGTCAGGTTGTTTATCAGCCCATGTTCGAACTGCTCTCTGAAAGCATGTGCTACCACTGGATCCCCAAGATGCTTAGTGTTAAAACTTTTTCTGGAGGCTTGCTGCCTTCGCCGTTTTGGGGTGATGTGAAGTGAGAACTTGGCTCTGATGAGCAGATGATCAGTGTCACAGTGGTCTGAGCCACGCATGGCTCGGGTGATGAGGACACCTCGGCGATGTCTTTCTCTGACAATGATGTAGTCAATGAGATGCCAGTGTTTGGATCGTGGGTGTTGCCACGAACCCTTGAACATAAGAACATAAGAACATAAGAAAATAAGGAGTCTGCAATAGGCCGGTTGGCCTGTCCATGGCAGCTCCTGTCGATAGTTACTACCACTCTCTATCATCCCTGAATCTATCTAGCCTCCTTTAAAAACTTTCCAGCGTTCCAGCACTTATCACATAGTTGCCAAGCTTGTTCCACTCATCCACCACCCAATTTGTGAACCAATTCCTTACTCTCTCCCTCCTAAACCTAAACTTATCCAACTTAAATCTGTTGCTACGAGTCCTATCCACCTCGGATATTATAAGAACTTTATCTATATCTCCTTTATTAATTCCTTTCACCCACTTAAATACTTCTATCATATCTCCCCACACTCTTCGTCTTTTTAGGGAATGCAAGTTTAGTTTCTTTAATCTATCTTGATATGGAAGGTTTCTAAGTCCTGGAATAATTTTCTTCATTCTTCGCTGCACCGACTCCAGTGAATTGATGTCCATTCTATAATAAGGGCACCAGAACTGAACAGCATAATCGAGGTGCGGCCTGACTAGCGCAAGATATAATTGCAACATGACCTCTGCACTCTTATTACTTACACTTCTAGATATAAAACCTAATACTCTGTTTGCCTTATTTCGAACACTAACGCACTGTTTTCTAGGCCTCAGGTCCGGGCTTACAAGTAACCCTAAGTCTCTTTCACAAGTCGACTTCTCTAGGTTGATGTTGTTAAGGCTGTATACATTTACAGTATTTGTTCTCCCAATATTAAGTACGCTGCACTTGCTGGTGATGAATTTCATTTGCCATTT